TTCCTTTAAATTGCTACATCATGAATAAACTGTTAGTAACTTCAATAAAAATATACATCAAATGGAACTTAAATTAAATAAAAAGTAGAGTTGATTTGGTCCAAACCCTCAGTTATTTATACCTTTTACGCCTTGATTTAAGGACGGAACCTCGGGTTAAGTATAGACTCCTTGGAGTGCTTAGGGGAATTATTATGGAAGAATAATAAGGCTATAAATTAGGTTAAAGAGGGAGAAGAGAATGTTTTTTGGGTGTAAGGTGAGAGAGAATGATTATTGCTGCCCCGTACATCAGAAATGAGGGGGTATTTATAGAGAAAATGTGCTGAGGGAGCACACGGAACCCTAAAATGATAAAAACCCTAAAAAAGTATCCCGCGACACGGAAAAGTGTACCGTGACACGGGAAGTCCCACCGTCAGACGGCAAACTTTCCCGCGACATGGTACATTTTTAGTGTGACACGGGAAATTTTCAGAAAACGAGAAAGAAAACGCGTTAAGGGTTTACGCGGAAAAGACACGGAATGTCCCGTGACATGGCACAGGTACCGTGACACGGAAGTATCCACCGTGACACGGTACAGTACACCATGTCACGGTATGGGAGACGCGGAAATAACACGGAAACAACTCCGTGTCACGGGGAATCCCACCGTCAGACGGTGTAAATTCCCGTGACACGGTGGAAAATGCCGTGATGCGGGAGTTGTTTAGGTACGAAGAACGCAAATAGGACACGGAATAGCCCTGCGTCACAGCAAGGGCACCGTGTCACGGGGATTCCCATCGTCAGACGGTGCAATTTCCCGTGACACGGTGGAATTGCACTATGCGCGGTGATTCCAGGTTTTTACCCGTTTTTAAAACCATCATAACTTTTGATCCGTAACTCGGAATGAGTCATATAATATATAATTGGAAAGCTTATCAAGTATAATTTCCAACTCTGTTAGAATCAACTCAAAATAGTATGTAGATTTTAAGATATGGCCGTTTTAGTAGAAGGGTGTCGGTTTTAGGCCGAGTTTGGTGTTTTGCTCATATCTTTTTCGTCAGCTCGGAATTGGGCTTATGATATATGGTTGGAAAGATTATTTAAAGGCTTATCCAAAAAAATAATAATTGGATCAAAATTGTATATCCATAAAATCAGTTTCTCTCAGTTTTGCGATGTGGACACGAAAAGTGGAAAATAGGTTATGGTTTAGGGAAATGAGCTAGAAATTGGATTGGTTCATGAAATGAAAATATGGATTTGAATATGGATTTAAACACTCCAAATATTAAATACTTAACCCGACCAATAATGGCGGTAAAAGGTTGTTCATCATCGGGTTTGGTTTTGGGGAGACATTTTTAGATGTCTACAGCTACGTTCCTTGAGAAGCTCACGAAATTCCAGAAGTATGTTTTTAGAAGAATTTATGAAGCAACAAGATATAAAGGAAGAGTTGAACAAGTCCAAGTGCAAAGTGCAAACTTTAAAATGGTTGAAGGAAAAATTAACTCTCCACATTTCTTGATCATGTTTGAAGACGTTCATCGCAAACTCAAAGATCCAATCTGTATCCAGCAGAGATGAGTCAAAGATCCTACACAAGCAAGAGCTTATGAATTTTTCTATATTGATCAGTATCTTAACCAGTTCATAGCCTTAAAAGAAGAGCTTATGGATTTTTCTCCAAACTCAGTCAAAGTGGGGGCTTCTGTAGACACCCATTTGTGTCTCCCCAAAACCAAACCCGGTGATGAGTACCTTTCACGTCGAATCATAATAGAATGAAGCAAAAGTGTGGAAAGTTTAGTGTTGCGGATAGTTTTAATTCTTTTCTCTTCTCTCTATTTTTGAAAACTTATTTTAAGAAAATAGTAAATCCAGTTTGGTTGGTCCATGATAAGGATCCAATAATGGTGTAGTAGAATGGGGTTTGAAAAGACATTTCCAACGATATATTATAAGCCCAATTCCGATGAATATCGAGGAAGTTATGGCCAAAATACTAAACTGGGCCCGATTTGGTTTTTATATGCGGCCCAATGATTTAGAGGAGGGCCTATTATTAATTATCATTCCTAAAGATATTAGGATTGATTATAGTCTTTTAGAATACTCTAGGAGGTTCTTTTAAATCCTAATGGTGTTAGGATTGATAATTATGTTTTAAAGAGTTTGAAATTGAATAAAACTACTCCTTTTAAAAATCCTTGTTTTGAACGAAGTGGAATATATTCAGATTTTATTTTCGTGCCTCATAATATTTATCCAAATTTTATATGGTTGGATAGATCTTGAAATTATCTTTCCAATGATATATTATAATATTAAATCCGAGTTATAACGAAAAAGATATGAATGAGACATGAAACTTTATCAAAAACTGACACCTTTCCACTCTTTTGGCCATATCTTTTTATCTACAAAAGATTTTAATCCGATTCTAATTGGGTTGGAAATTAGACTTTAAGATCTTTCCAACGACAAATTATATGCCTTATTTGAACTTCTGGATCAAAAGATATGATAAAAACAAAATTGCATTAATTTCTGAAATCAGCGCCTGGAACCAGGCCTGGCGCCTGGCGCCAACCATTTTCGCCTGGTGCTAGCCATTGGCGTCTGGCGCCAATAAGCTGGTGCTGCGCCAGCTCTGTTTTAGGTGCGCCAACCTCGTTTTACATGCGCCAAGTGCTCTGTTTTGATATTTTATCTTTTTGGCTGATTTTCTCTATAAATAACGTATTAAAAACTCTGTTTTCATTCACCAACTCTCATCAAGATTTTCTTGATTATTCCCTCTCTCTTTCTCTTTTCTAAACTTTGTTTTCAAATACAAAATTCCGTATTCGCAAGACTTAGATACACCTAGCCATATTCGAAGTTGCCTTCGCCCTAGACGTGAAAGGTTTAATTTCTGAGGGTTTGGTCCCAAATCTCTATTTCAATCATTTAATTTAATTGTTTGTTTATTATTTTCCTTGAAGTTACTAACGTGTGTATTTTGTTATTAGAAAGAGGTATGAGGCATCAAAGTAAGTACTTTAACTGATTTTATTGATATTATGATGTAGAAATCATGTTTATATTGTTATTATGATATTCCTAGTATCATGTCTAGGGTAATTTTAATATCAAATATGCTTATTATGATTCTTGCGATACTTCCTATTCTCTTCCTAATATTTATCATTGTTAGTATCACGTTAGGGGTAAAGATTTGATTTTTATTGCATAGTGACATGCTAGGGTTTGTTATTAATCTTGTTAGTATCATGCCTAGGATCTTGCTATTATTATGCTTAAATATTAACATGAACATGATTATGATTATAATTGTTATAATTTATGATGATTATGAATATTATTATTATTATTATTTTGATGATGATTATTTTATCTATGATGATATTATTATTATTATGATGATTGTTATTATAATTTATTTTATTCATGATATTTATTATTTATTATGTTGCTTGATTATTTATTTTTATTGCTTGATCACACCTTTTATGCATGTTTAAAGGGAATTGGTACTTGTAATCACGATTAATAAGATAATTAATAATCTTGTTTAGGGTTAATATGATTATAATTTCAAGTGATCGCCAATAATAGTTTATTTGTGCAATAAATTCAACCAACATAGATTAAACAGGTTTAGGGTTAATCCTATTAATTGCATGTTAATTAAAAAGCGCACATGAATACGATCTGAATAAAGTAGAGGCCTATTATTAGGGCAGGTTCAATCTCTTTTAGGTTGGATTTGTACCTTCATCCCCGAACCCTTATTTGGTTCTAGACCTTATGGAGTTGACGATCTCTTGGATCGTTAAGGGGTGTAACCTTCACCTCGTGAATGGTTTACAAGTTCCTAAACAAACTTGTTGGCGACTCTTTTGCTCTATCTTCTTCCCTTTTGGACGCCACCGTACTTTAGTGTATGATCACAGTGGGGTTCAAGCTAGGGCTGAGCAAAATTATCCGAAAAACCGAAAACCCGAAAATCCGAACCGTAACCGAACCGAAAATTAGGGTACCCGTTTCGATAACCATAACGGTTCGGGTACCCGATCCGATAATTTGTTATCGGGTACGGTTATCGGGTATCATTTTAAAATTAACGGTTACCCGATCCGTTCCGATAAGCAATTTTTTCTTTTTTTTCGTACTTAAATCTATTTATTCAAAATCTAAACGATTATTTTACTTCGTAATCACTTCATAATTTAAATGATTAGTAATTATTAGTAATTTGGTCATGATCATGTGGTGTTATTGCTAATTAGTGTTGAATGATATCATAATAACTATATTATAAAGTTTAAATTTTTATTATTGGATATCATATTGGGTACCCGATAACCGAACCGAAAATCCGGGTACCCGAACTTCGGGTACCCGAACTTATTGGTTCGGGTAATGGATATCATTTTTAGTGTTATTGGTTATCGGGTACCCGAACCGATAGTGTTAACGGTACGGGTACCCGTCCCATGCTCACCCCTAGTTCAAGTTAGGGGTTTAACGCTTGAAATTTATTCCCTACAGGTAGCGGTCCATCATTCCCCATGAGAGAAGATCTTAAAGTAATAAAACTGAGTCCCACTAATTAAGAGAAATGAATTAAATATTATACTCCCTCTGTTTTTTTATGCATCACTTGGGAATGCACATAGTTTTAGGAGATAAATATTATATTGTGAGTGGGTGAATAAATTATTATAATAAAAGTATGATGGGACCATGAAAGAGAAATTATGTGAGAGAGAATAAATATTTTATTATTTAAGTAGGGACATAGATTAGAGAGAAATGATAAAATAATTTGAGTCGGGTTTAAAGTAAGAGAGAGAAATAATAAAATATAGTATAACTTTATCAAATATAGAAGTGATGCATATAAAAAAAACACCCATAAAAGGAAAGTGATGCATATAAAAAAAAACGGAGGGAGTAAAAGTTTTCTGAATATGAAAAACAAGTATTTAAAAAAAAAAAAAAAAAAAAAAAAAAAGAAAGTAGAGCAAGTATTTAAAAAATAAGGGAGTAATTTGTTTATCTAAGGAATAAATGAATCATTAAGGTTGACCAAATCACATCTACGAAGGAAAGCACCAACTTTGTTTTGGAGCCAAAATAAGACAAAATCACAATAGCAATCACCATTTCCGCAATTACGCTCATCACCATTAAATTGAACCCCACAAAATTCCCACCTAAATTCTTCAATCTTCAAAAATGTTTACACATAAACTTGTACAACAAAATTTGCTCTTCATTTGACATTCCCAATACAAAAAATGGCAACTTCATCATTCAAATCTTCCTCAAAAAGACCCACTACTTCATCTTCAACCTCTTCAACTTCCATTAATAAGCAGCCATTGCAGCAGCATTCAAGAAAGCCACAATCTTCGACCCAGAAACCTCTTCCTCGAAGATCGAGAAGTGTGAGCTCATTTCCGAGGACCCAATTGGATATAACCTCGGAATTCCAGAACAAAAGGGATAATCCTCTCTTTTGGGTTGATGGGTCACCCAATAATTCCGAGGAAGATATTGATTTGGTGAAGTTGTCCAATTTTGAGATCCCTAAAATTGTTGGGGTTGATAATTTACATAATTTGAAGGGTGATTTTGATGGTGGTGGAGATAGTAGGAGAGGGAGGTCAGTTTTGAGGAACTCCGGCGGCGAGCCGAAGTTCTCTAATGGTGGTTTTGGTGGAGGAAGGAAGGGTATTGGCCGGAGCTTGTCTAGGGTTGATACTGGACGGCGGCGGCGGTCTTCGTCTCGAGGGCACTATGGTAATTCTGAGGTTTGGTGACACATTTTTTCAAATTGATAATAAGAAATTTTCTGTTCCTGTGGTTAATTTTGATGTTTTGAGCAATTTAGATGAATTGGTGTTGTAGACTTGTGTTGTATTGCAGGAATTTATCATTTATGTGATGTAGACACTCCATTTTCGGCTTTTTGGCCCGAGTAGGTTGGTATGATGTAGTGCTAACATGTACTTGTATGTAATTGATGAGGGATTGTTATGAATCAGGTGATGGAAGGAGTTTGATTTGTGTTCAATTTTATAACAGATGATGAATTAGGTTGTGCAAGGAATATTGGTTTTGTTGCTAAATTAGAATATTAACGTTTGGGTGTATCGATTCTTGAATTTATGTATGAGTAGCTAATAGCTACTGTGGTTAATGGTTGATGCCTGATGGAAGAAGATGAGAAAATTGTGTAATGTCAAGTTGTGTAAAAGACATTAAACAGTTGATTGCTGAAGCTTGATTTCTTGAAAATATTTTGCACCTCATATGATGTGCCAAGGTGGGACCAATGTATAAAAAAGCTCAAGGCGCACTAAAGCGAGAGGGGTTCTGCTGCACCTCGGTGCACCTAAGGCGCGCCTCAGTGCACCTAAGGCGCGCCTCAGTGTGCCTCTTTGAAGTGAGGCGCACTATATGGGCAGTTACAAAATTTTGGCTGAAGTGCGCCTTGGGTGCGCCTCGGGCACTTTTTGTGCGCCTAACCCAAAACGTCTCGCCCAGACCAAAATAAGCGCTCACCTTGCGCCTCAGCACCCAGGTGCGCTTTTTCAAACACTGGGTGGGACGGGGATTGTGTGTCAGTAGGTGCGCGCGCAAGTGAACAGTTAGGACGCATTAAATCATTTAGATTTCCTAATTGTCTTATGAATTAAGTTGGGGAACACTTGATCCCTGATTAGCCAATTTTGAGGATTGAGGGCTCTAAAACAGCTCTATATCTTGCAATTCTTTTCTGCACTGCCTAATCTGGATATATCTGTAGTTAAGCTGTAAACCAGAAAGTCTTGTTCCGATTATCAATGTGATAGATATACTTTCTCTGTTCTTTTTTACTTGACCTGTTTCTTTTATCATGCTTGTCAATGCAAAACTTTAACGATCAATAACTTAAATTTTCCATAAGTAAAAATTATAAAAATTATATATTATGATAGTTTTATTGAGACGAATCCAAAAAGATCATACATGAATATATTTTTTCTTACATATTATTCACAAAAGACGGTCAAAGAAGGGGTGGTGAATAGTGTAAAAGTCAAAGCGGGTCAAGTAATAAAGAACGGAGGAAGTAAGGTAGTAATACAAATAGTTGGAAAAGTCAGGCTTGGTAGAAGACTAGAAGTAGTACCTGTTTTTTATTAATACGTTGTTAATGGAGGGGTCTTCAAAAGTGGATTTTTTTTATACAATAATATTTTTTCCCTGGTGCAAAGGTATGTTTTATACTAAGTATTTAGCCTGTGCTTGTGAATCTCTGGGATTATGTGGAATTGAATTTTGCAAGAAAAGAGTTTGCTTCATTTTCCTGCTTTTCACTTAATCCATATTTCTTCAATTGGAATATCACATTATTTTTGGAGATTCATATGTCATCGAATGTTGCTAGCTAAGATGCCTGCAAATTCAGTTCTTTCTCTAAATTTCGAGTGCATAACATTGTATTTTGTTTATTTGTTCAGTGTGAAAGGGAGCAGGTAAGTGAATCGTTGAATTCTAGAAGCAGAAGTAAGATCAGTTCAGAAGCAAATCGTGCTTTGGTTGATAAAAAGAGCAATCTGGCTAGAAGTGCTTCTGATTTCTCTGAATTACTGAAAGGCCGGAATACTTGGTCAAGTCAGCATCCTGCCTCTGAGACTTCAGATGATTCTGCCATAAATCTGGTACTATGTTTAATACTCGTGGCCATTTATTTCATAATAATATTATTTATTCTATTAAAGGACAAATCTCATCATTCTCATGTGCTTGTTTTCTTGAATAGTCTGGCTCTCTAATACCTCATTGGGATGATGAAAAATCAACAACTTCAATCTCAGAAGCTGAAGAAAAGACCATTAATGCAGTTTCTGAGGAGAAGGTTGGTTCCTTGATATTTAATTCTCAATTGAATATTACATTTTAGACCCTAAATTTTGGCTCCTTATCTTCCAGATAACTCCCTTAAAAGACAATAGTGGCACTACTGGTGGAATTCTTGAAACTGTTCGTTCAGAAGTTAGACGGGCTATCTCTAACTTGGAGAGTGACTTAAAACTTGTAAGTGTCTCTAGATTAACTATTTGCTGTTCTTTCTATTTTCTTTTACTTTTGCCTCAGGATATTTTAGAACCCAATTCCCTTCATACTTACTATAATGATTAGCCAACTTTAATTTCAAATCTAACCATCTGATAAATATGATCGATTGGGCAATCTGAACCCAGCGTACTCTACCATACAGCTACCTGGAATATGTAACGTTGTGCAATATGGGGATTAATATGGGAAAATTGCAGGGTTGTATAGAGTTACAAATACTGAGGCAGGTTTGACCTGTTCTGCTGGCCATAGTTGCATAATGTACATTTGTCCCATAACAAATTTTCTTTTGGGATCCAAAATCATATTAATCGAACTGATAATTATAACAATTTAAATTTGTGCCATAGATATAGAGAGTTATACATCATAGAACCATAACAAGAAACAGAGCTAGTAATTTTTAGAGTTGAAATATCTGAAAATACATTTTATTATGGCTACTTCATCTTGTTATACTGATCCTAGTGGATCATTGATTTATATTTAATGTAATATTATGCTAACTGTTTTGCAACTCTGCCTCCCTGCATCTTTGTCTTAAATGAATTGTATAGGCAGGATAACTGTAATGTGTGCTTTAATGATAACGATCTCAACACATTGTTTGTTTGTGTCTTAGTTTCTTTATTAGTAATTTTATTGCTTCTTTCTTCCATGCGAATGCTATTAAGAGTTATGAGTTAGCTTACTCCGCTCATGAAATCATGTGCAATTATTATAGAATGGGTTAAACAAGGTTAATTTTTTTTACCTGTAAAGAAGGTAGCTGTAACTACTTGTCCCAAGCTTCCTATCCTGCAGATGTATGCAAGATGTGGTCCCAAATAATTTAGGAAAGATTAATGAAGATCTGTTAGGAAGTAGCTGAGGTGACAGTATATTAAAAATACAGAGCTGAGATAGTGAATGGAATAAAAGAGATAGAACTAGAGAGAAAGGTCTTTATGTGATGTAATTTCTTTGCTTGGGAGAGAGTCTGAGCCTCTCGAGTGCTCATGTAATCATCCTTAATGGATAATTATCAAAAAAAACATCCCCATCTCTTAACTCTTCCTAACTAATACTCCTTGTTAATTACTGATTGCTGGATCCAATTTATTACAGTAATATTTAATATTATGATGAAGTTGAGCATTTGATCTTATATCATTTCTACCCTCGTTCACTTAATACCTACTACCAGTGTTAAAACTTTTGACAAGGCTCCTCTGATTTTACACTTTGCTTTGTTCTACCACATCGGTTTTCTTAGACACTCACAGGCTCATAACACTCTTTAAATGGGCATAGGCACCCTTTTCAGCCTTTATCATTTGTGCTTTGTTCATAGGGCATGTCCATCCATTCAGCTTCTACCATTTGTCCTTAGTTCATAATTCTATTTTCTCTACATTTATGGTGGGAAGAGGTTGATAAGTTTCTTGGAACTTCTATTTCTTGAAGGATCTTTCGGATTAGGAGGTTAGGGACTGGTTGAGCCCTTGAGCTTCCTAGACTGTCAACTTGACAAGTGTCCCTAAGACGATTTCCTTGATGGATGCATTGGCAGGTGATTTTCATTGGTGGATTCTTTTCCTGTAAAATATTAGATTAACTTTTGGTATTATTTTACTTTTCATTGTTGGCCAAACTTAAGACATGGAATGAATCGACTCCCATATCACCTTGGCGCTGCTGATTTCCAGCAATAAATTCTCTATGGGATGAGGCCTGAGCTAGTGAGCTGTATAGATACAATAGTAAACTATAAAAATGTCATATAAGGAAAGTGGTTGGCAGATCTATATCTTGTGGAGAGCCTCTGAGCAAATGGATCCATTATTGTCACAGAAGAGTACACAAAGAAAGTGCCTTCTGCTGTACTGGTAAACAGACTTGGTTTCTATGAAAGTAGAATTGTTCTGATAAATCACTGCACCATAACAAAACTAACGGTCAATATAATGTTGCAAGACATGTAATAGACCTAGGATGGACTAATATTAGACCATCAATTGGTGTTTCCTTCTAAAAGCTCTTGTAATGCGATGCAGAGATGCCTTTCAAAGAGAGAACTTGAAATTGATATGTGAATTAGGATTACATTATTCTGTGGTAACCATTTTCATGAGCAATCTTGTGCCAATCAATCATACACCTGTCACTTGCTAAACTACTAAAAATTTTGCAGGTCAAATTAAGGAGTGATTCTGATGTTATTGATAGCTACATCAATTCTGATGTTCTTCATGAACTGGAAGATCCTAATGCAGTTGAATTAGTAGAAGATTTTAGAGAGGAATTTGCTAGGGAGCTGGAAGAGGTAATTTATCTTTCATATTTTTAGTTGGAAACTGATCTTTGTTGATTTGGACTGGTTGACAACATGATTTTAAATAACAGTTTAAACAGATATCTAAGCAGCTGCTACGATTCTTGTATGGTTTTTCTTCTCCTTTTGTTGTGTTCCTCATTTTCTTGTAGTCAATTTCCAAACTATTAGAGGAGGGATGCATTAGATTGCAGGCAAGCCAGCACTGGTACTTGGGGCTTTCTTTAATATATTACTGAGGTCTTTTTAAGGATATAGTTTCTGTCAGATAGCTGAACACTTGTTTCTTTTAAGAACATTGCTTGTTTGGGCCTTGAAGTTGTTATAAACCTCCTTTCTTGTTAGTGTCATTACCATTTAGTTTCATGTGAGATTCCAAGTAGAAGCTGCACACGAGGAATATTCCTGCAACTCTGACCAATGGTTTCTCCATGATGTCTGGAGGTTTGCTACTTTACCTTTCCTCAGAAAAGAATTAGAGGAGAATAATGAAATTTTTGTAAATTTTAAGCCTGATTTACAAGTACTATTGTTAACAGAGTGCATCTTTGCCACAACATGCTAGAGGAGAGATGTCTTCATTTCACCAATATTATTCTGTTAATTGACCTTGATAGTTTGTGGTCCACCTCTCTGTCATCATATATCGTGATGATATTTTTGGTGTTGGTGAATGAGTGATAATGTTACATTCTGCGTCATGAAACATTTGTCATCCTGATGTCATAGCTATTTTTCTGTCATGATGTATATGTGTTCTTTTACATGTCTTTCGTGCTTCAGTGTGAAGAACGTACCAGGAAACTTCGAGCGGAATTAGCTGTTGAAGAGCATCGTGAGATTGAATTATTTAAAATTCTTAACGACACTGTTCCTGAACCAAAGACTCCTGTTGTGCAGAAAACTCGTGCAGTAAGAAAGGTGATACTTTATTTTTCCCTATGTATTGTTAGTGAGGGTGCCTAGGGTGTATTTAGTATCACGGACTGGTGATAGAGTTGGAGGATGTCCATATTATTGCTCCCTCCTTTCCTTTTGATTGACTCATTTGGCCAAATTTTTGGTCCAAAATGATGATCCCATTTGCATCAAAATACCCTTCAATTTGCAATGTATTTGTGCAAAGTTAGCTTCTCCATGTGAATTTTGCTTTTCCATGTACTTTTATTACTTTCTCTCTCTACTTTTTTGCAAACCCTGTGTGAATTTAACTTTCCAATGTACTTTTCTGCTTTCTCTTCTCCCTTAATTCCCGTGAAATTTGCTCAAATGAGTCAATCAAAAAGGGACGGACGGAGTATTTCTTTTTACCTATTGATTGTTCTGTATCTTAGTCCTAGTGAGTTGGATTAGTCATGCAGCATTTTTGACTAGCTTTGAGTTTCTCTTATATCTCTACTAAGGGTCTAATCCACTCCACATCAATTAGGTTGGTTATTTCGTTTGAGTATTTTATTGTATCAGAAAGCTTCTGTTGAGATATGGTTGTACAAATCGTCATAGCCTCTTTTATTGATGAGTTTTTTTGCTTCATTGTTCTTAAATCTGCTACCCTAAATTCATTCTTGAGGTGTCGTGTGTAAAACATTTGAATGGCCAATGTGTCTTCCGTGATCCTTCCTATTGTTTTGCTTAATTTCATGATATTAAATGTGTGCAGGCTAGTTTTGAAAGGAAGAAAGTGTCTAGGCACCTTGAAGAAGATGCATTGGCTTTTTTTGACGAATGTGTTTCAATATCAACATTTGATGAGTCTGACTTTTCTTCTATAGAGGATCTACCCTCCATGGTCAGTGTTGATGGCCCAGGCAGTGATAGAGTAGGTTTACCTGGAATTCCAAGCAGATTTAGTGATGCTTACTCCTTTGAGACCCAGGTCTGTTTCTTACATTGCCTGCTATTCTTTGTGCTTTCTTGCCATATTTTTTATACTGTCTTTTACTTCTACATCATAACCTAATAACGTTGTTAAAATTCATGCCTCTGTTGGACTGGTTTCCCTGCTCTTTATTGCTACATTTTCGCGGTACATATCAAATGGGTTCATGGCTTACATTTTTAGCAAAGTTGCACATAAATTTGCCGACTTTACCTCAATTTATGGGCTAATTCTGAATAGAGCATCAATGTTTAGCTGTATGCTTCAGTGAAGCTTTGATAGAGCTATTGCACTCGGACATGACTGTAATTATTGGAATCTTCTTTCTAGCATAACCTCAATTAAGTCGTAATAGTCAGGCAATGACGTGACTTAATTGTGATGGATGGAATATTTGCCTCCTGTTTGGAATCTGCCTTGTCTTCAGAGAGTATTTATCTGCCCGAAAATATTTGAATAAAAACAATAAAATTTAGTCTTTTTGATAAATTCTTAATGTTCGTTGCTCCTGTTGATATGCAGAGAACTCCATTTGGGCAATGTCACGAGGGTTCTCCACTTAAAAGAAGTTATAATAGCTCATTGTCAAAATCTCCCTCCATTTCACTTGAAGAAGACATAAGAAACTATGTCAAAAGTTTTTCTAAGGATAGTGAAGGAGAAACCAGCAACTCTGATAGAACAAGTACTCGAAGCATCAAAGACTACAATTGTGAGATACCTGTGGAGAAACTTTTGCTGGACCGGGTAACGTTTAGGAGCAGAATAGAATCTGGGGGAATGTTATTATGTGGTGGGGGTGCTTTTTCAGCGGCTCCCTTTTCTTCAGTCTTATGGTAAATAGCTCTGCATATCTGCAATTTTTTTGTGTACAGAATTCTATGACTTCCGAAGATCTTGTATACATGGTAAGCCTTCTGCAATGAAATATAAAAATCATTTATGAAAACACCGTTCAATCTTGCAATATTCATATCATCTTTCAGTAAATTCAGAAAATCATAAATTTAGTTATGTTCCTGTATATCTCCCCATTAAACTGAGGTTCAGTGATGGTGCAAGCGAAGTGTGATGAGGTTAGCACGGAAACTCATATCGGATACAAGTACTTATATATAAAATGACGAATCCGAGTAACATGGCGGAGTTTGTTTTATGTTTGTCAATGGGAAAAGGGAATTTAGGTGCAGTGTAAGAATCCAAATTCCATGCAGCATGAAATTGGGCCAGAAAAAGAGGCCAAAAGTGAATACAAAAGAGCCCAAATGAAATGGTAATGTATTTGCATGCCCTGTAAATCTGGGTTTGTTTTGTTATAAGAAGTGAAGTGGGTGATGAGAGTTTCTGTACAAGTTTGCTGGCATAATTGAAAGTCGTAAGCAAATTGCCAAATCTCTTTTTAACTCTTCAGATTTGATCTCACACGTGTTCTCTCTTTCACCTGCTTTTTCATGTTTGTTGGGCTACAAATATTACCCTCCACAATGTAACTGACATTTCCAGCTCCCCTCATAGCCCAAAAATAAAAATAAAAATAAAAATAAAATAAAATAAGTTAAAAAAAAAAAAAAGTTTTCTGATGAAAAAATGTATCAATTTTTGTGTAAACTCACAATTTTCTGAAAATATCAATCTTTGTTGAAACTCCATTATTTTTATTGAAATAATCTTGCTTTTTTTTTTTTTTTTTTGGACTCAGAAATAATCTTGCACTTATTATTGTGTTGATTATATACTTGTATGAAGCTAAAGTTTTCTTTTAGAGAAATTTTATTTGGTAGGAAGTTGGAATGATTTGTTTTTATTTTTTAAAAATTTGGGTGTAGAGAAGTTAGATTGATGCAAATAACATAAAACTATTGTCAAAAGATACAGTATTAAAAACCTTGATCCAATTTTATTATTTGTTTATTTATTTATATGAAAGAAACAAAATGCATCATAAGCAGTTAAGTACTGTTGACTTATAGTTTCATTCAAACTAATAGGTCATAACTCCGTAATGCATTTCCAACAACAGTGTTATTTTATGCTTCTACTTCGTAGTATATTCCTTCCATTTTCCAAAGTCGGACTCACTTAAATTTGAAATATTTAAATATATTCAAATTTAGCAAGATCTTATTTTATACTCCATATATTTTTTATATGACAAATATAAAAATGATAATGTATGATTAAAAATTTTAAATGATCTTTTTTTACCATGTAAATACTACTATGATTCAAATCTTAGGAACTAAGATGTATAAGGGAAGAAAATAAGGTTATATATATATATATATATATATATATATATATATATATATATATATATATATATATATATATATATATATTCATTTCACTTCAGTTTAGTTCAGTTCAACTCTTAATTTCCTTTTCTCATAAAATATTTATTTCATATCAGCCCAGTTCAATTCAGTTCAGCTCCAATTAGTTCAGTTCAATTCAGCTCAATTCAGTAAATGTAAACAGACCCTAAGTTTGATGTTGAACCTTAATAAAACTTTCTTCTTATATTCATTAACCTTTTTTTTTTGGAAGCATATATTCAATTCATTTACCTAATCTAATAGGAAGTACAAGTATTTCTTAAACTACGGGTCTATTCTCATACGTTAAAATTCAGTTTAGCTCATCTCCTAATTTCCTTCTCTTATAAAATATTCATTTCAGTTCAGTTCATTCAATGAGAACAGGCTCTACATGTCAAAATATTATGTTTTTTTTTTTTTTTTTAAAGAAAATAAAAGGCTTAAAAGAGAGATCCAAAAGTTACACACTGTATAAAGCAAATCCTGATTGGTAGCATGGCTGAAACAACTTGGAGCCATTAAGCCAAGTGTTTGGCTTCACTACACCTAATTCTAAAACCCCTCACATTAAATTTTAAAATTAAAAATTAATTACAAAACTCAACACTCTAGTTAAAATAAAAATAAAAATAAAAAACCTAAACTCAACCATAGTTAAAAAACCCCCCCTAAAAACCCCTTCAGCAGAAACATCAGGAGAAAGAAAAGAACAAGTCTCAAAGTCTGTTTTACACAATCTTTCTTCTCTCTCTCACTTCACTCTCCCATCCACCCTTACCTTGTTTTGGTAAACAAACCTCCCTTTTCCTTCACCAAATTTCTCTTCCTAATTTATCACATTCATACATTACTCTATTTCTTTCACTCCCTCATTCTTTTACAGCAGCGAGCCAGCGAGCCGAGGAGAAGGAAGATGAAGACGTCGTCTAAGAGGAGTCACTCACAATCCCACCCCCCGCCTCCTCTTCCGCTTCCTCGTCGTCGTTGTCGTGTTTCTCATCCAATTTCTAGTAATGCTGCTGACTCCGCTAATGGGTCGCCTTCGTCTCCGTCTTCGTCATCGTCGTCGTCTTCGTCTTCCTGTATAGTTGATTATCATATTCATAATGATGATAAAAATAAAAATGACCAAATTCAAATTGATGACGACCAGAAGCCGCCTAAGCCGAAACGAACTAGAAGAAGGAGAGCACCCGTTAATCCTAAAACTGAGAAATGTACCAATCCTTCTACCAATCGTCGTAGCTCCATTTACAGAGGTGTCACAAGGTAATTTAATTTAATTAATATTGAAATTTTTCCATTTTTTGTAATGTCCACTTGTCAATTTTAATTTTTTTTTTGGTGAATTTGTGGAAAATTTAATAAAAAATTAGAGTTGATCAAATGCTGATTAAATTTGATTTGAATTTTATGTCGATTAATCAATTTGCATGTCATGGAAATTGAGTTAATTTTAATTTTTGTTCAATTTTTGGGTGAAATTCGCAGACATAGATGGACAGGAAGATTTGAAGCACATTTATGGGATAAAAGTTCTTGGAATAGCCTTCAAAACAAAAAAGGAAGACAAGGTAATTTCTGAAAATCTCGATTTTATTTAATTAAAAAGATATTAATTTATTTATTTTGTTAAAAAAATTAAATGGTGAGTATTCTCATGGAGATCCGTAATCTCGGTTAATTAATATTTTGATTACTGTATGGTTGGTGATAATGATACTGTAATACTCCTACTTATTAATTAATTATTGAATTAAATTTTGTCCTATTATTATTGATTTTATTTCATTAATTTTTTTATTTTTATTTATGGAGTATTCGTATAACGTTATTTGGAGTTTGTTCTGCCAACTTGCTGACTGCGTGCGTTTTCTTTGTCTTTCTGACTATCTCACTCAACGTTCATCTTCCGCTTCTTGTTCAAAGTTTATTTAGGTAAGTCCAAATCATTCGGGTTTTTTTTTTTTTTTTTTTTTAATTCAATTTTCCGCAAAAAAATGATACCAGTAGCAATTTCGTAAATAAATCAACTATACATTCTAGTCAGCTGACTTGGATGCATGTTTGATAAAAAGTTGATTAATTTACAAAATTGCCCCACTATAGAAAATGCAACATAATTTACTTATCCGTCTCTAAAAATTATTCCTGTTGGAGGGGTGATTGTGGCAAGAAAAGAGTCAAAAACACGAAGAACTTTTTAGAGACGGGGGGTTAATGTCGTCACAATATTAAAATTGTTTTGTTTTGGGGTGATTATTTAAATGCAGGAGCATATGATAGTGAAGTAGATGCAGCTAGGACGTACGATCTAGCGGCACTTAAGTATTGGGGACCAGAGACGACATTAAATTTTCCAGTGAGTTACCTAAGTTTGTGAGCAATTATAAGTAAGACTATATTATAATTTTTATAACCCAAAGTCTTGTCAAAATGAAATGCAGCGGTGTTTTATTGCTAATCTAATTTTGCGACTTGCACCACTTTCTTTCCACTTGTTGTATCTTTGACACACACAGCTGGGTCGTGCTATCAATGTTAATGTTAATGTCGTGCTTTAATGTTGTTACAAAATTTAATAATAATAATGATAAATTTGACTTACGATACGGTGTGGTATGTATTGATTTATGTAGATAGAAAATTATACGGAAGAGGTTGAGGTCATGCAAAATGCGTCCAAGGAAGAGTACTTGGCGTCATTGAGACGGAGAAGTAGTGGATTTTCGAGGGGTGTTTCGAAATATCGTGGCGTGGCTAGGTACATTTTCAATGGGTTTTATTGCCGTGCTTTGTTTTTTGAATCACGTTAACAATAAACAACAGTAGTCTGAACTTTTGACCATTTTAATATATTTGTCATCTTTTTTGGATTTTGGAGGTTGTGTTCTTGTAATAATTTTAAGCCATCAAAATGCTTGAATTTTTGGGATTTTTTGTATTGTTATGAGAATGTATTTTTGAAGGTGGAATTTATGTAAAAAGATGGTCAAAAGTTTGAACATTCATTGTTTTCCTTTAATTCTATGGGTCATGTGACATCTATGATTCTTTGAATGTCCTATTAAAATTATTTTTTATCATTTAATTTTTTTGTAGGCATCATCATAATGGGCGATGGGAAGCACGAATTGGGCGCGTTTATGGGAACAAATACCTCTACTTAGGCACTTTCAGTAATGTCCTAAACTCTATTTCTCTCGTGCTCGCTCTTGTTTTATGAGATTTAGGATCACGAGCACAAACGCTGATACGTGGTCAGACAAAGTGATTATCATAATCACAGGGACAAAGATACTTAATATTTGGACTGACCCTTTTGGTTTGGTCACTTTCTGTGATCATCATATATAAACAATAAGATATAAAAGAAAGGGGGTGAATAAGATATAAAGGAAAGGGGGTGAGTACGGTACCAGTAGATCTGCCATTAATTAAAAAATTGCTCCTATGGACTCACATGGCGTCACGTGAGTCAAATAATGTGAATACCTTTTAGGAATGGGTTGCTTGATCTGATTTTATGAAGAAAATTATTAGTATGATTAATTAATTAGGTAGGGTTTTGGTGAAAATTATGATCCACTAAGATTCCTGCTCTTTGCTTAAACCCCGTCACACCTGACTATTACATATGCAGTTATGCACCCCCACCTTTACCTTTAAAGATATGTAATAAAGTCAAATTTGATCAGAAAAGAAAACAAAAAGAGGATTAAAGAATGGAATCAATCTTGCGAAAATAAATTTGAGATTTACTGGTATTTTCGGTAGGCCCTTAATTCTGTTTTTCTTTATATAGGGGATGATCTAGAGTAGTTGAGAAATTAGTTTTATGAGAAATTAAGATGAGCACTAAAAATTTAAGGAAGCAAAGTATATAGAGGAGAAAAAGGAGAACTTTTTTATGGGAATAAGGGGGGTGTTTACTATATAGGGCCACTTCCATGCATGCTAGCGTTGTCCTACCATCTTCCCTTACTCAAAACTCTACTTGTGCACATGGGAACTTCATGTACAAATTAAAGCATCAAAGAATATCTTGTGACTTTGTTTCGGTCAATACTATTACAACATTCGAAATCACTTAAAAACCATGCATTATGCAATTGATCAATTTTCCGTGAATCTTGACCTCGTCTTTCTAACTGAGTAATATTCTTTTGAGCTGAAAGAAAGGTCTCTTGGGTAATTAGGGAGTTAAATAGCTCGTAATCTTATTTTATACACAAGAATTGAAGGGCATCTCAAGGTAGGACAAGATTATCTCATATTTCCACCTATTTTTAGGGGCTTTTGTTGCTTGTTTGGCCCCTCACCCATGTTTCATTTGAGTTGGCAAAACTCCTGCCTTAAATGGTAAGGTGTATTGTTAGTAGTTGGGGAATATCATGCTTAAAAAATATTAATAAATAAAAAAATCTTTTCTTAATTTTGTCCCCACTTAATGGTATGGACTTCATAATTCATATTGAACTATATGCTTGCTGATTTTATTTATTTATCTATTTATTTATTTTTTCCAGAAATTTTTCCATAATTTTTTTGTATATTTTTCTTTTAATTTAAATATTAGTTTGTATAATTTTTCCCCCTTTTCAGGAGGTCTAGGAAAAAATGTGTCATGGTCAACTAAATTAACCTTTGGATGTGTCACATGTGGTCTGCTTTCATGCACATCTTATCTTTGGAGTTCACCTTCTGACTAGATCTTGTCTTACCGGCCAACTATTAAATTGTTATGATGATTTGTGATTTATACATCCCTACCTGGTTTGATATTATCCTTTAGAAAAGCCTTGTTTCTTTTTAATTAAATGAGAAGTTGTATCCTAGTTTCTTCTTGCTTCTTTTTACTTTTATTGGGGCCCTAAGTTCTTGTATCAAATTCAGATACAATAGGCTGTCCGAGTGCCCGACATATCCATCACTTTGCTGTATGTTAGTCTACTGGGCTAAAGTTTTCTAAAATGTTGTGACAGATTATATGGGCTTTATAGTATTTGAATGTATACTCCTGCCACCATATTAGAGCTTTGCTTGACATCAATCTTATCAGCTCTTAAAACAAAGCTTTAGAAGAAATAAATTTCAATTACAGGCTATACAGTCTCAATGTACAACTAAAATAAGTATCGATAGGTTCCAATAAGTAAAGAAAGATAATTTCAGACGAAACGAACAAAGCCTAATTCAATGACCTTTTAGCTGTGGCCATGTACTGCAATATAATTCTCTGTTTAAACAGTATTTATAAACATGAGATTTTTATTTGATTTCTCTATGTAATGAAAGCTTGCTTGTCGCGAATGCTTTGGCTCATCTCCATTTTGTAATGGAGCTTGCTTAATAATTTTAGCAGAAGGAAAACTATATACTGTATAAGTGTAAATAAATTTGCACTCTTCTTAGTTGAGTATAGGTTGAATTTCACTATCCTTTATTAACACAAATTTGTATCATATTAACTTTAGGTTCACAAGAAGAAGCTGCTGCAGCATATGATCTGGCTGCAATAGAGTATAGAGGCCCAAATGCAGTGACTAATTTTGATATTAGCAATTACATCGGTCGTGTGAAGAATCTTATGCCAAAGGTTGAATCAGGGGAACCAAGTCCCAAACAAACAGAAGGTGCAGTGCCAAAATTTCAGCAACAACAAATAAAACAACAGAAAGAGGAAGAAGAGCTACAAGATGAAGTGCCAGTAAAACAGCGAAATTTGGCTGATGTTGTACACCAGGAACAAGATCAACAAATGAGTATTCCATCTCAGCTTGAGGAGTCTAAGCTAGTTAACTCCATTGATCACCACCCAGCTATGATTGGGATGGAGGGTGCTGAGGATGCAAGAGAAAATCCGTGGAGCTTTTGCTTGGATACAGGGGGTTACGACCCCCTCTTGGTTCCGGATATTCCCTTTGATGAAGATGGCGGGCTGCTTGATTTATTCAATCAGACCAATTTTGAAGAGAATATTGATATGATGTTTGAAGGAGAAGGAAATTTGATTAGTATAGATGACACCTTCTTCGATGGCACAGACGTCATAGGCTGTCAAACTTCCGAGGAATTAGACAAGAAGATGGAGATTGTGCCTAAGGTGGAGGAGAATTCACTTTCTTTTTCATCGTCCTCCCCATCATCTCCTTCTTCGATTACTAGCTTAGACTCATGTCAGCTGTAACGCGAGCGTAATGCATTTTAAGAACTGTTTCTTCTCCTTTCCCCCTCTTTTTAAATTTTAGTTTAGTTTCTCGTTTTCAGGCTCTTGATTTAGCTTTGTGTTTGTTTAAATTTGTTTGGTTTTAGTTTTTCTTTTCTTTTCTTTTTTTTTTTTAAAAAAAAATAGGTTAGTTGTTGAATTGAAGATCTTATGAATGGATAGGAAAAATTCCAAACATGTCATTACTCTTCTGTTGTAGGAAAATCGAAATTTTGTTTCTTGAATTTGAGTTTTGTTTTAGTATGTGGGAGAAAAAAAAGTTATTCACTCTATTTCATAATATTAGTGCCTATTTTATTTTATATAAAACTACATATTTAGACGTATTTAAAAATATAATTTATTTTTTTGGTAGAAAACAATGTACTTCTATTTATATATTTTTTGCAATGAAAATCTATAAGCAAAATTTGACCGAAAATAGAAATAGACATTACTTGTATATTATGGGACGAGGGAGTATGAGCATTTGGTTGCATAAAAGGACCTGCTTGTAATTTCTAAATAGTATAGAGTTACATGCTAGTCATTGTGGAGCTTCATTGGTTGTAGCTAAGCCAAACTATAGAGTTATGTAGTTTCACTCCACCCAATACACATATATTGAGTTGTATAATATTTTTATGCATTTGTTTGTTTATTACTCCGTATTTTATTTTTAATGATTTATTTATTTTAAAAGGATGTAACTTACCATAGTAGAGGTTGTAGTTTAAAACATATAGCTTGGGGATTAATGATGACATGTAGGTACTCATTATAAATGCTCTAAACAGATACATGTAGAAATTAAGCCTAATGTTGTGAATGTGAGGCACGTTTTTTCTAATATATTAAACCTCTTTTTATTTGTGAAAAGCAAACTAAAGTCAAGATCATTAGGTGGATAATGGATTATCAGGGTCAACTGAATTTAACTTTGGAAGCTGTTTTTGTGTGGGTGGAAAGTGGATAGGGAAAGTACATTGTATATCTTTCTCTTTTCAAAAATCACAAAATTTGAAGATTTTTGGCCCAATTTCAATTGGACTATACTGAATCGGAACTTGGGACCAAATAAATAGTGACTTGTTGGGATAAGATTGTAACGCACATACGCAATAGTAATCCTTATTTTATATATATATATTTATTTAATTGTTTAGGCAATGTAATATTAATCCTTATAGAGCTATATCGAGCATGATATGCATCATCCTTACATTTGTGAGACAATGTTATATGATATTATCGAATCTATTTGTTTTTTTGGTTTCTTCAACCTTAATGGTACCCTAGAAGTTGGCTTAGGGTACCTAGGGGCTATCCCTAAATTCACTTATTACTAATATAACCTAGCAAATTTTTGTGAAACAGACAATACATTGATGATAGGAGAAAATCAAATATACAACATGATTAGGGGATTTTGCTCCCACCAATCGGAATGCGCCACGTGGGCCAATCAGGTCCTGCCAAGTGTCCCCCAGTTGGAGCTGTCAGGGCTTGCCACGTGGCACGCGCTTATTCGTCCACCTTGGACCTGTTATGTCATGACATGTGGCATACTCCATGCCTAGTGGAGAAACCGGCCACCCAGGCCCAACTTCCGAGGGAAGCCCAATCAGCCCTAGGTTAACCTAAACCTAGGATGGGCACGTTTCCCAAGGTTATAAATACCTCCCTTAATCCTCATTAAGGGGGATAACGAAAAAAACACATTAATTACACACAGTAATAACCGGCTGATCTCGCTAACAAAGCAGATTACCTACATTAAACACTCTCACCTAGAGAGACCCAATCACTTTAATTTCCGCATTAATTACTCCTTAATCAAGTACTAACTTGACCGTTGGAGGCGGAGCTCCCACCACCAGGAGTCTCCGTTATTTTGCAGGTACAGGCGTCCGGTTCCAGTCTCGGAGTTGTAACTCTCCCGCAGGACATCAGAAAACCCCGAAACATTTGGCGCCGTCTGTGGGGAGAGTACTTCTGAGATGGCATCCAAGTCTGTACCGACTCCTGGAGAGAGGCGTCCCCTAGACGACCCTCAAGTTCAGTCGGACCATGATACCGAGAGTGAATTTGAAGTTGAAACTCACACAGCTTCAGACGGGACCCTAAGGGCCCGACGTACCCGTCATACCGAAATGAGGGAACGGGAACATCTTCAAACTGGAAGTGAGCCAGCAGGCGCACCGCCTGTTCGGCAACAGCCGACTGATGGGTCTGCTCCCATCACAAGGAACGAACTCATGACCTTCATGAGGAACTTCAAGGGAGAGATTCAAGAGTTGATCAACAAGAAGCCGCCTGCTCCAGTCAAGGAGCAGTCGGCTAAGAAACCCTCCACTTCACTAAAGAGGAAGCCAGTTCAAGGGCGAGAGGCGACTCCTCATCCTAAATCTAGGAAGCGGGAGCCACCTGCCCTTGATTTCACAAAATTCCGTTTTCCTACAGGAAATAGGAAACCTGTTCGTCATATTCAGGCGGACGGGTCGAAGCAAACATTCACAGACGCTCGGCTACTGCTAGAGCAGAAGAAGAGTGACCGATTGTCAGAGTCGGCCTCTACTTCAAACTTTCAAGATAGTCTGCGAAATGCCTCGATGAGGCATACTCAGTCGTATCATGAGAGTCAGTCAGGCGGCACCTCCCGTCAGTCCGACTTTCATAGCGACCAGGCGGTACCAAACTTACCATTTGTGTCGCAACAACAATATTTTTTGCAGCCACCTCCGTTTGGTGGACCTGCAGCAAAAAACGTCCAACCTATGGACTGGCAGCTACGGTTGCTTAGACTTGGTGAACAGCCGTCGGCCTTCTCCAAGGAAATTACTGAAGCCGCTCAGCCGGCCAAAGTGAAAAATGTACTAGTAGGCGCCTATGACGGCACTACTAACCCAGAAGACCATCTGATGGCATTCACCAACCTGATGTACCTTCAAGGGTTGGATGATCCCACTTGGTGCAAGTGTTTCCCAGCGACTCTCAAAGGAATCGCACAACAATGGTTTGGCAACCTGCCGACTGGTTGTGTAAATAGCTTCAGGACGCTTGCTTACTTATTCACCTCCAACTTCGCCATGAACATCCCTGCGAAGAAAACGACCCTTGATTTAGGAACAATTCAGCAGGGCGAGAAGGAGGGGCTTCGTTCTTACATCAGGCGGTTTAACCTGATGAGAATACAGATTCAAGGGTTACCGGATGAGGTAGCCTATACTGACTTTTTCAGAGGTCTCAAAGACGGGTCTACCTTCAAATTTGATTTGGTTCGAAAGAGGGTGGAGACTCTTCAAGAGGCCTTGATTGAAGCAGAAGCCTATATACAGGCGACTGATCTTTGTACGGTAAAACAGTCGGACGGGAAAAAGTTCGACAAAAGAGAAGGACGACAGAAACAGTCGTCAAACAAAGATGAAAAGAGAAAAGAGGTCTGGGCGGCTGATTCCTCTAAACAGCCGGCTCAGAAAAAGAAAAAAGAATTCAAACCATACTCCCCAAAGTATGCGTTTAACAAGGATAACCAGTTTATCCTAAAAGAAATCAAGGGACGGATCTCAATTGAGAAGCCGGTCCCCATGAAGGGTTCTGCAAACAACCGGAACCAAGATAAATTATGTGCTTATCATGATGATGTTGGTCATCACACCAATGACTGCATCAGTCTCATGCGGTATCTGGACCACCTGGCTGAGCAAGGTGATCTTGACACTTATGTCTAGAAATCTACGGGGAACACTTCCTCAAAAAAGCAGTCGGCCAAAAAGAATCAACAGGCTGACAGCTCCGATACAGATGATGCAGTCGTCTACACCATTGCAGGCGGCTTCTCAGGAGGCGGCCCCACTATTAGGGGCAACAAAGACAATATCAGGCGGTTAGATGTAAATTCCGTTCACCAAGAACGGCCGTCCAAATATTCATTTCCTGAGATTGTCATCACTAAAGAAGATCTAGGAGGGGTAAGAGGGCCGCATGACGACCCTATCGTTATTGAATGTAAAGTGGCCAACCAGAGAGTTGGCCGAATCCTCATAGAGACCGGAAGCTCCTCAGATCTCATCAGTAGCAAATGTCTGTCGAAACTAAAATATCAGACTGATTGCATACATCCGGCCTCCCACCCTTTAGTAGGGTTTGGAGGAGGAGTCGTCCACCCACTGGGACGAGTGGATTTACCCATCCGCCTGGGAGAAAAAGGGGAAGGACGACACATGGTAGTCCGGTTCCTGGTAGTAGAAGAACTTTCGGCCTACAACATGATTCTGGGTCGACCAACCCTGAATAATTCCAAGGCTGTTATAATCCCGTCTCTTATGTTGCTCAAGTTTGAGAGGGATAATGGAACAGTCGGCTCCCTAAGGGGAGATCAGAGGATGGCCCGAGAGTGCTATCTCTCGGATGTCAAGCCCACTGTTATGGCCACTGGGTCAAGCGGTGAAAAAACAGACCTTGACAAGGTCAAGGAGAGTGCGCCTGTTCAAGAAGCAGGCGGCAAGAAGAGAAAGGCATCCCAGACAGGGGCCGCAAGAAAAGAAAGAAAATAGCAATCATTGGCAGAGGAGCAGTCGGATGAGTTCCGCCTCAGCCGGCTGGTGAGCATGCGGACCTGATCTTAGACGACTCACGTCCTGACCGAACAGTCAAAGTTGGGACGACTGCTCTGAGAGACCTTGGTGACGACTTTCACAAACTATTGAAAGAATACAAGGAAATCTTTGCATTCGAAGTCCATGAAATGCCAGGCATTAGTCCTGATCTGGCGGTACATAAACTGGCCGTGGATCCGAAAAAGAAGCCGGTACGGCAAAAGAAGCGGAACCATGGCGAAGAAAGAAGTCAGGCGGCAGCCGCCGAAGTTAAAAAATTACTTGATGCAGGGTTCATTCGGCAATGTTACTTCCCAGACTGGGTTGCAAATGTGGTGCTTGTTAAAAAGCCGAATGGCACCTGGCGAATGTGTGTAGACTACACAGACTTAAACAAGGCGTGCCCCAAAGACAGTTACCCTCTGCCTAAAATTGATAACCTGGTCGACTCAACAGCCGGCCATGCTTTGATGAGCTTTATGGACGCCTATTCTGGTTTCCATCAAATTCCTTTATGGAAGAAAGATCAGGAGAAGACGGCCTTCGTCACTGATCAGGGGTTATTCTGTTACACGGTCATGCCGTTTGGTCTTAAGAATGCCCCGGCTACCTTCCAGCGAATGATAAACACTGTGTTCTTTGATCAGATTGGGAGAAATGTCGAGGCATACATTGATGATATGATTGTCAAGACTAAACTTCAGAAAGATCATCTGTCGGACCTCCGAGAAACTT